GATATAAATCATTCTTGTTATTTTCAGAGAGGTCTATTCATAGCAACTTCCAAGTGACACGTCTCTGTATGATGGCATTTTAGGGTCCGTTTGGGAAGGATTTTTTCGGACTTTTTTGGCTATTTTAGTTACAAAAGATAAAATAGGTTATTTTAATCATAAAAAACAAAACATCACATCCAACCCATAACCATTACACTCTTCTCTCACCAAAAAAGTCAAAAAGTTAAAAAGCTCTTCCCAAACCAAGCTTTTTAGCCCAGGCTAAAATAATCAAAAAAATCAAAAAGCTAAAAAGCCAACCCACTTCCCACACGGAGGCTTAGTCAAGTAAACAAAGATGCCCCTTTGAATTTTTTATAATTTTTTTTTTTTTTACTATTGTTCATTTTTGTCAAATTTTATGAGTAGATTATTCAAAAAAAAAAATTTATTGATTCGATAATTATAGTTATATAATTTTATTATATTTATTTTTAAAAAATAAACATCAATTATAATTTTAAAAATACACAATTATTTTTTAAAACAAATATAATAACAATTATCAGATCAATATGATATTTTTTTGATAAATGACCTACACAAAAAATGAGACTCCATGGGTCCTATGATAACGTCATGAGATCCAATAACACCCTCCAATCCACTAAAGACAAATCTAAGCCTTTGTTTATATATATATATATATATATATCAAACTCAAGTATTTGTAAACTTATTTGAAATTATTTTTTTTTTAAATGCGATTTTATTAAAGTCATTTTTAAAATATGATTTTAATTAACTTTTTCAAAAATATTTTAAAGTCACGTTTTAAAAAAAGAAACCTCAAAAAAATAACTTGAAGTTGGGAAATAAATTCAGAACAACTTACATTTTAAAAAAAACACACATTATCATTAAGGTCGCGTTTTTAAAATACGACTTTAGCCCCAGTTTGGTTTAAGGTTGGGACTAAATAAGCACATATGGACCAAAAAAAAAAAGTTACAAAATTACAAAAACACTTGACTTTTGATGCAAAATTACCAATTTGACCCATATACAAACAAAAAGTCAAAAAAGTATCATTTCAAGTGAAGGGCAATTTTGTCATTCTAATGCAACAAAGCCAAACAAGAAAACCAAACGAACAAAAAAATCTCAGCCTAAAATTTTTTTAAAAAAAAGCCAAAAAAACCAACATTGCTGAACGATTAACTGCTTTAAAAACATTTTAAAGTCGCGTTTTAAAAGTAAGACCTCAAAAAAACAACATGAAGTTAGGAAATAAATTTAGAACAACTTACATTTAAAATAAATAAATTATTAAAGAACTCAAATTTGGTAAATGAGCAGTGGATAAACTCATTTTAGTACTTCAGTTCTAATAATCAGTTACAAGCATTTATATAATGATTACATGTTTTGTGAAATCATTTCATATGTTATATTTCAATTCAGGACTGAAAAATATAGTTTGTTGAGCTATCAACAATGACCAACAAACTTAAAATTACAATTACATACATACAAGAGATACTTATATTATATGAAATATCATGAATGGATTAAAGGATTCAATTAATGTTACCTAATAGATTGATTTAGTCTTGAATTTTTACTATAACTAACTAGATTTTCTACCTTGTCAAACAGTTAGGGATGGCTAGTGCTTTGGAAACTCTATGTGGACAGGCATATGGAGCTCAACAATACAAAAAACTTGGAACTCAAACTCACACTGCTATTTTCTCCCTCATCATTGTTTGTCTCCCCCTCTCTATAATCTGGATCTATATGGGGAAAATACTCATTTTCATAGGCCAAGACCCTTTAATTTCACGTGAAGCCGGTAAATTCATAATTTGTCTTGTTCCCGCCCTCTTTGCTTATGCGATTCTTCAACCACTTGTCCGATACTTTCAAATGCAAAGTTTGATCATTCCTATGCTCATAAGCTCATGTGCCACTCTTGCTTTCCACATACCTCTTTGTTGGGTTCTAGTGTTCAAGTCCGGATTGAATAACCTTGGAGGTGCGTTGGCGATTGATATTTCAAATTGGTTGAATGTGATCTTCCTCGTTTTGTACATGAAGTACTCTTCTAGCTGTGAAAAAACCCGGGTCCCAATTTCAATGGATGTGGTACGAGGAGTGGGAGAGTTCTTTCGCTTTGCTATTCCTTCTGCTGTTATGATTTGGTAATTTTATTTTGCGAATTTCTTAAATAAAGTTTCAAGGCTTTTGTTTGCTATGAGGTTCTCATTCATTTTTTATTTTAAATTGTGATGAATGCAGTGTCCAATGGTGGTCATTTGAGTTTCTTATCTTGTTGTCTGGACTTTTGCCAAATCCAGAGCTTGAAACTTCTGTTCTCTCTGTATGGTATGTGCTCTACCATAATGTTTGATGATGATGATTTGAATGTTCTAAACTGTAAATTCAAATTGTGATTTTGAGGTTTAAGATAACTACTCTTAACTTCTTTGTCAATTTCATGAACAGTCTCAATACGGTCACTACACTCTACTCAATACCTTATGGCTTTGGTGCTGCTGTTAGGTATGCTCATGCAATATGTGCACTTGTACATGTAAAAAATGTTTTCTCCACATAATAATGTATGATGCCAATCTAATAGTTCTTTTTTTTTTTTTTTTTTTTAGAATGATTTTTTTTTTTTTTTTTCTTTAGCACTAGAGTTTCAAACGAATTAGGAGCTGGGAACCCACAAGGGGCTCGTGTAGCTGTATTTGCCGTGATGTTCCTTACAATCACAGAGACTACAATAGTGAGTGCAACCCTCTTTGCCACCCGAAGCATTTTTGGCTATACTTTCAGCAATGAGAAAGAAGTTGTGGATTATGTCACAGCCATGGCGCCTCTAGTTTGCCTGTCGGTTATATTGGACAGCATACAAGGGGTCCTTTCAGGTTATAAATTTTGCCTCTCAATGTCTATCTAGTATTTAATATATTTGAATTTTAAATGATAATATCTTGTTACACTAGCTAACTATTCTTCTTCTTCTTCTTCTTCTTATTTATTTATTTTTTTCAATTAGGTGTTGCAAGGGGATGTGGGTGGCAACACATAGGGGCTTACGTCAACCTTGGAGCATTCTATCTGGTTGGAATTCCTATTGCTGCCATATTGGGTTTTTGGGTACAATTAAGAGGAAAAGGCTTGTGGATTGGAATACAAGTTGGTGCTATTGTGCAATCAATTATGCTTTTCCTAATAACAAGTTTCACAAATTGGGAAAAACAGGTCCATTTTCTATCTCACATCTCTTCAAGCTATTTATTTGGTTTAACTGGACAAAACATTTGAAAAGCAATCGCTTGACTAAGGAAAAATTAAAGGAGAAAAAATGTGGAATGTTGAAAGTCAATTTCTATCCATGGAGATCCTAATTTTCTTTCACTTTCTTCATTCGTTTTAGCAAATGAATGGAGTACCAACAATTATGAAATGGGTACTGTTTTTATTTTTTAATAATTTGATTCATATAAAATATTATTACAATGAAACCTAATGAATTACAATCATAATAATGAAAATCAAATATAATATAAATTTTTTTACAAATAAACTCCCAAAGTGAGACAGAAAATCCCAATTAATATATGAGAAATAAGACTTACATGTACGTGGGGAGTTTCGAACTATTGATCTCTTACTGAGGTGTAAGATTGCTAAACAATAGGACTAGCCCTGTTGGTTATGAAATGGGTATTGACCATATCTAGTAAAATTGATTTTTATGAAATGCAAAGAGCTAGTACGCCTAGATAAAAGATCATAACCAAAGATTTTGGATTAAAACTAGAAGTTGGTTGGTTTTTTGGTTTTTTGACTTTTTTAGTTTGGGTTAAAAAACTTAGTTTCAGAAGGACTTTTTGATATTTTGGCTTTTTTGACTTTTTTTGTGAGAGAATAGTATAATAATTATGGGTTTGATATGATGTTTTGTTGGTTGTGGCTAAAATAGCCTATTTTATGTTTTGCGGCTAAAATAGCCAAAAAAAACCTACAAACCTTCTTCCCAAACGGTGCTTTAGTATGAATTGTTTGGCATACAATTAATTAGTCTTTTTTTGTTTTTTCTAAATTACGTCAAAGTTATTTACTTTTTAAGTCCATTTTGTATAAACAAATTAAACGGTAAAAAATAAGTTCAAAAATTACTGTGTTTGGTTTGAGTTTTTTGGATTAAGTTTTTTGAAAATTGAGTTTTTTTATTTTCGTATTTTTTTTTGTTTTTAGTTAATATTTTTAAAATTTTAGACATTTTTTTTTACTTTTTTAGATGCACCTTACTTAGATGTATCTAAAAAGTAAAAAATTTGTGAAAAAATATTTTAAAAAATTAATAAATACATAAAAATACAAAATATGTACAAAATTCTCGTTTTTTTTTTATATTTTTGGTATTTAGTGAATTTTTAAAAGATTTTTTTCACAAATTTTTTACTTTTTAAGTATATTTATGTTAGGTATGTCTAAAAAGTTTAAAAAAAAAATTGCTTAAAATATTAAAAAAATTCAGTAAAAATAAAAAAATACGAAAAATAAGAAAGTAGAATTTTCTGAAAAGAGTTTTTAAAAAACTCCAACCAAGCATGCTGATTGCTTTTAGCTTCTCTTTTTCTTTTTTTTCTCTCTATGTTGTATCTAGTATTTTTTTTTCAAATTTAAAACAATAGTTAATTTTTCTGTCTATCTTGTCTGATTGAATAGAATTCGTAAGTGTAAAATATTTTGAATTTAAAAAAAAAAAAAAACCACTAATGACAAGGGGAGTAGCGAAAAAGCCACTAAAAAGTCCATCCAAACAATATATTAGTGGCAATTTCTTTGGTAGGACCGGACCAAAAACCTTGCACCCAAGAAGAAGAGGAAAAGAAAAAAAAAAAAAAAAAACTTGCAACGACTTTATATGATTTTGGAAGTATTTTTGTTAAATTTTGCCATTTTAATAGCATTTTGTTGGGGACAATTTTATGTTGCAGGCAACTCAAGCGAGGGAGAGGTTATTGGAGGGAAGATCTCAGCAAATAGTGGATTAATGTGAAATGGGGGAGTTTTGGAGGCGTGATTATAGTTTATTTTGATTTAAAAGTCTGTGCCAGATTGTTTGGTACAGTTTCTGCTTATAACTTATTAGGCAGAAATAGTTTAAATAAACTGAAAAAAGCTGATTATTTAAAAGTTGGGATAAGAATGCTTTTAACTTTTATTTTCTGATTATCAATTTTTAATTTAAAAAAAGTTTCACCAAACAAGGCCGTAGATTGTTACTGAATTAGTCTTTTAATCTTATTTTGTAAAATAAAAGCATCACTAAAAATTAAAAAAATGAGATTCATGCCTCAATTTTTCATTGTTCTTGGTAGCAGAACATGAACAAAATTCACATAACGCTTAATTTTCATTTCATCATTAATTTGTTAGTCATATGAATAAAAAAAAAAATCTTTTTACATACAAAAATGTAAATTTATCTTGTATTTTCATATTATTAACATTCATTTTAGTTTCTTTTAACTTTATTAAAACAACAATACTACAAACTCAGATTTAACTATTCAGAAATTATCCAAAATTATTATATTGTATTTTAGATTTTTTTTCTACATATGAACCTTACACTACCCAAACTTAATTTCCACTACACAATCACCAACTCAAAAGATTTTTCTAGGTTCCAGACTTGTTCTTATCAAAGAGAGGCTAATGTAATTATGTTTAAATTGTGAGATTTATTGTATTTTTTAAAATTTCAGGAAAAGATGTGCAATTTACCCAATAAATACTTGGGTAAACTATCAATAAATCATAATAGTTAGATTTAATTCTTATAAAATCCTATTAAAAATAAGTCATAGTAAAATTATCGCTAAAAATAACTTTTGGGGATATTTTTTGCATATGTCACCAAAAATTGAAAATTAGTGATTTTTTTTTTGTCACGATTTTTATAAATTGTCCTTAAAACTTAAAATTAGTGACGAATTTTTCAAAATGTTGCTAAAAGTTGAAAATTAATATTTTTTTTGTGACGATATTTTTAAATTGTCACTAAAACTTATAAGTGTTATTTTTTGTGATAGATTTTTTTATTTAACATTGACTAAAAAAATAAAATTCATAATTACTCTTCTATACAATAATAAAATTACCTAAATTATTAATTGGAACGTATTTGTAATGTCATTAAAAACTGTTAATCGACTTGATAATTTATTAATAAAAAGGGCAATTTGTTATGAAATTAGAAATTCCAAACGGTAGAATATAATTTTCCGAATCATAGAGGGTGATTCATATTTTAATCAAATCTCAGATGGTGTATTTGTAATTTACCTTATAAAATATATGACACAAAAACTGATAGCAAGAGAACAAAATATTATTATATGAAAGAAAATGTTATACGGCCCAAATATTCTACCTAATGAATGACCGATTGTCTCACATTGGTATAGGGTCCACAAAAGTGTAGACCACACACCCATGCAAGAGATTTGGTCATTTATTTAGTAAAAAATTTTACATCCCTAATATTACCCTTATATGAATTAAATCTGTGTAATTATGCATGCATTAAGATCCTCTAGAGTGATCCCCGTAGAGTGATCTCCTCCAGTAAAGGAGATGAGCTGGACACATGTCACACTCAACCTTCAAGGATTGAGATTCAAACTCATCAAAACTGTGACATCCCAAAATATTTAATTAATACCACAACTAATCACGACTATTAATAAAAAAATAATAATAATCTATAATAGTAAAATAGAAGAATTAATTTTGTGATTGTATGCGATAAAGTAAAATTTAATAATAATAGGAGTAATAAAATAAATAAGCTATACGTGTTATGTAAATTAATTTGTCATTGCGGTTATCAAATATGTGACGAGAAAATTTATTTAGGGCTAAGTTAATCACTAATTAATGTGAAAAGATTAGCATGTATAAATATAATTAAACGAATTAAATACCACACAAATAATTATAGTTAAAGATAATTATGGTTGTATGTGATGATCTATGATTAAATAAATAAATAATAATAAATATATAAATCTAATTCGGCATTAGGTTATCAAATATGAGATTAATTAGGAACTATTATTTGGGGCCAAATTAACACTAATATGAAATTATAATACTAGTTGAGCCAAAATTAGAATTAAAGATAGTAACTAAACAATAATAATAATAATAATAATAATAAAAATAAAAATAGTGGATGTAGTAAAATAAATAATTAATTTTCTATAAGTATGCGATAAAGTATAATTTAGTCAAGAATTAATTTATTTATATAGTTATAATAAGAATTTGGGCCCAAAATGTAAATATCTTTTATATATATATATATATTTAGATAAGTGATAATCTATGTTCTTAATGGAGGTCTGAATGAATTATAAAACAAAAATGATTTGGACCACTAAAAAAGAACCTCTAATGCATCTTTAATTTGTCTTTTTCTTCCCTCTTTTTTGTCTTTTACTTCACTGTTTTTTTTTTTTTTTTTTTTTTTTTTTTTTTTTTATACAGGTGACAGCTCATTAGAGCTGCACTTTTGCAGCTCTAATTAGAGCTCCGGAGCATGACCCATTATAAAAAAGAGTTGAGAATCGGCGAGATTGCCACGTGTCAGCTGCAGGGTGTTTCTATTTTTCTATAAATTGGAAAGAACTGATCAGAAGCGTTAGAGTGACCGAAATCAGTAAGGAAATAATAAAAGGAACAGAAAGGAAACGAAAGGAAAGAAAAGAGGGAGACAGAGGTGCGTAAATAGGAAGGTTGTGTTAGTGAAGGAAAGGATAAGGATTAATATTAAGGTGAGTTATATTATATTTTGAGTTATTATAATGTATTTTATGCATGTTTTAATTTATCATAGTTTATTTTATATAAGTTACGTTTTATAAATTATTATAAATTATATTAATATTTTAGTTACGTGGATTATTTTTTGAACTCTATTTGTTAAAAATGAAACTCATTGATATGTTTGTTTAAATTTTAAAGAATATTTGACTATAACCTTATAATCAATTATGTTTTGTAAGTACCACCACGGGAGTCCCATGCCTTAGGAGACTTAAATAACCATTGGCCTCTGTTTAGCCACTTTATGATTCTCTGTTTGTCATGGATCCATTGACCTCTGTTCTGATTGTCACTGACCTTTGTTCTGTTTTGTTTTGTACCATGGATATGATTATTTATGTACATAATTTCTATATTTCAGTTTCTGTCACTTAAGTGATTTATTTACCAAATTGAGTTACGTAAGTGTTTTGCCTTAACTAACTATCTATGGTTATTTTGTATTCCCTGTACTATCTATGGGTTTCTCACTCTGCTGTGTTAAGCGAAACCCATAACCTCACCAAAATGGAACCCGCACATGGATTGTTGTTGAACCACCTTTCTTTTTATCTTTCTTCTTTTTTTTTTTTGCTCCCTTTTTGTGTTACTCGAGGCCGGTCACTGAATAATAAAATAATTAAAACCCTATAAATGTATTTTCTTTTTTTTAAATAGTAAAATGAAGTAAATTTTCTGTTTAATTATTCTTATTTTCGCTTGTGTATTTTAATTTGTTACGAATAGAATAAGTTAGTAAGTTGCGATTCCAACCCTAAGCTCCTGGGATTGGGTCGTGACAAAAACGACGTCGTTTTAGTAAGTAAATTGAAAAAAAGAAATTTAAATATCTTTTGTTTTGGGTTTCTTTTCAAGTCCTTCATGGGTTCAACTCTCTTCATCTCTCTCTCTCTCTCTCTCTCTCTCTCTCTCTCTCCTTTCCGATCTCGTTGCCCCCACCGCCTCGCCTCATTGTCATTGCCAACAACCTCCGTGACACAACTGTTGCTCTTCGTCGCCGGCATGGCTTCGCCATTGTCGCGGAGATTTAGAAGACTTTTGTCGCGCGCCTTCGTCTTTGATCTCTTCCGCCGCCGCCACCACTCCAACACCTTTGGTTCAATCGCATTTGCAGACCACAGATTTGTCGACGAGTTGAACCCTATTCGCACCATCTTCTTTGATTTCCTTCGCCGATCTCCATGTCCGTTGACCGAATCTGTTGATTCTGTTGCTCATTTTGATTTTGATGATGATAATGATACAGATCTGAATTCATGAACTCTCTTGAGAATCAATCTTTGGTACTCGCACTATAGGGTCTGTAAATATACATATATGTACATAGAAATACATATTCGTATAGGTTTGTGTTATGCTTGTGTTGATTATGCAGAGAATGCAAGAGCACTTGAAGAAACTGAAGGATGTGAATAAGAATCTTAGGATAAAGATTAAGTAATGGTGACTAGTTATTGCTCTGATCTGTTGTTTTGTGAGGTCTTTGAAGTTGATTTTTGAGTTTGTTTTGGTTTGATAGACAAATGATAGGGGATTGTTTTAATGATCTCAGCATGAATTTTTTTTAGTAGTACATTTCTTATTATCAAATCGATTGAATCTTCTTTTTTGTTTATTTAGATCTTACAGACCAAAACCTTTTGCTTTACTAGTTTGATTGCTTCTTATTCAAAATTTCTCTTACATCTGTTATCATATATATTTTTTTCAATTTACTTACCGAAACGATATCGTTTTGGTGAATTTAAATCTCAACTCCTAGAGACTGAGTGGGATACGTGTCGGGCTCATCTCTTTTATTGTAAGAGATCACTCTAGGAGATTACTCTAGAGGATCTTAACGCATTATGCATAACCGGTGATGATATCCACATCCATCTATCTTCATTGCCAGCGTGGCAAATCGGATGGAAGTGATATGCCTGTGACGGTCCATTATCACAACAGATGGTAGCGAATCAAATTCAAAGCCAGGCACAACGTGCAAACGACGTCGTTATTTACACCCCCTTGCAGTGAATTGATATTCGACCCTGCATAAACCCAAACCCTTGTGCGAGAACCAGCAAGCTAGAGAGAGAGAGAGAGAGAGAGATGGGAAAAGCAGCGAAGGAGAAGCTGAATCGGACTCTGACCGAGCACCTCAACACCATCCATGAAACCCTTGAGGTTCAAAACCCTTTTAATCGCTTTCGATTACATACATACATACATAGTTATGTAAATTTTTATGTATATCTCTCTATCTGTGCGTTGTTCGATTTGAAGGTATTGGATCAAACACCTGCTTCATCTCTTGATAAAGTCAGCTGGAATGAGGTGATTAAAATGGGAGACCAAGTTTCCAAACAAGCTACTATAGGTCTCTCTCTCTCCCTCTCTCTCTCTCTCTCTCTCTCTCTCTCTCTGTCTTCCGGTTTCAATTTTTACTTTTATGCAATCATTTTTAGATTAACATAAATCTGTAAAACTGGTCATGTTTATTTATTCATGAATCAAATTGGTTCTTTCTAGTTTTATATAAAGGGAAAATATTAGATTAATGGGAAACAGTACGGAGAAACTAATTGCAAATTGATGCTAGTACGAGTGAGAGCATAACTTTCACTTGCACTGGGCGCATGTTTCACTTTTACTCCATTGATTTGCAATTTGTTTATTATCCATTGCCCTGTTATCTGAAATTTCCACTTGTATAAATGCTATGTTCCTTATTTCATTGGTTTGTGGAAATTGAATTAAATAAAATATAAAATTATCAAAATACCCTCTTCAAAATGAATAAATAAAAACTAACCAACCAGATGTTTAACCTAAAGTAAATACAAATAAGATTGTACTAAGACTAAAATTCAATTAAGCAAATTTGCAAGTGGACATCCTTTGAAATTAAATCACTTTCCAAGATTTCTAGCTTCCTTGAATGTTGTGTAGAGTACATTTTTTATGGACTGCATCAGAAAAATAAATTCTTGTACATATTGACATACACTGCTCTCACTGCACTGCACAGAACAAATGTTCTGATTATGAATATATCTTATATGCACTTCATAATAAATTGGTTGTAATTATAGATGATGTGGGAATAAAAGTAACTTCTTCATTGATCTTTCTTATTCTTCTTAGTAAAACACATTTTAAATTTGCAGAATTCTTTGTTTATTTCAATGCAATTATATGTTAAAACGAGAATAGTACAATGTTGAGCTGTCCATAGTGAATCTGAAAAGCAGTATTCACATAAAACGGGAAGCAATGAGTCTTCTTTTTTTTTTTTTTATTGGCATTGGAATGTCCGGATCAATGCCCAACTAATCCTCAAGGGTGCACAAGCCCTCAGCAAGGATTAATTCAAGGGTTTTTTTTCCAGTCCGATGGCTTCAAGAAATTATTAGCACTCAAGAGGTTTTGATCTCTGAATTTTTGAGGGAGCACACCCCCAAGACCCAAGGCCTTACCACCAGACCAACCCCTTGGGGTTAGGAAGCAATGAGTCTTGTTTGCGTTTTTTTCCTTGATTTGTTCACCTTGCTTGTCTTGTGATTTTTTCCTTCAGTTGTTTCCTTTGGGCAAGAGTGTATGGGCAATACCAGTTGCCTGTTACCTCCTTCCATGTGGTGTGAAGTGGTGTTGAAGAAATAAATTTTGAATTACGATTTTCCGTGCAGTTGGAATGATTTGGACTGGTGAAAGACCAGAAGTTAAAGAACTTGAGGAGAACATGGCAGCATACTTCAATATGCTACAGGGTTTCCTTCTGCTGTCCCATGGTAGTAAAGTGGGTGCAGGACCTACGCTTTCTTCTTGCATACATGCATCTGTGAAGCAAGTTGTTGATTGCAGTTTCATGCTGTTTAAAGAGTCTGTCTCTTCCTATGGTACTCTCTCTCTCTCTCTCACACACGCACTTGTTCACGCACATCAGACCACATCAAGCACGCATATTTTATCAATTGTTGAAAATTTCAATATTGTTCAATCGACAACTTATGTCCACAAGTGTTTTATGTAACATCATTGTGGTCTTAGTCTTTTGGAGAAAATAGAAAGATGGCAGGAATTTGACTATTCTTTGGCTCAAACTAAATAGTATAGTGGCCTCGCACATCAGACCACATCAAACACGCACATTTTATCAATTGTTGAAAATTTCAATATTGTTCAATCGACAACTTATGTCCACAAGTGTTTTATGTAACATCATTGTGGTCTTAGTCTTTTGGAGAAAATAGAAAGATGGCAGGAATTTGACTATTCTTTGGCTCAAACTAAATAGTATAGTGGCCTTGTGGCATGCAGGTATCTAACTAGTATAAATTATTAGACTCAACTAAAACTCTGCTGAAGCTGGAAAGTAATAGGAGTTTAGAAATGACAAAATTGGAATTTCCTTTAGTTTTTTCTCAGACCAACTAGTTTGTAACCCTTGATTTTCTCAGACCCATTAGTCTTTCTGTATGATGTTTAATTTAAATTTGAGTTTTATTTGGTTAGTGTTTTTTTGGTAACCTTAATTAGGGTTTTTTACATTGCTTATATATATGGCTTTTACGTAACAAGTTTTAGCTAGCTTTGAATTATTGATATTGAGTTAAGGTTGTCGCTGTTTTTGTGTGTTAGGGTTGTGACTCTTGTTCTCCTTCCTCTATTCTTATTTGTCTCCATATTTTTTAGCTTCTTTTTTGGATCAATTCTCCATATATTCTGGTTTTGATATCATAGAAGTATAATTTTTGAAATGAATGTTGACATTTATCTGACTTTAACAATGTCGACTGACGGAGTTAGTTAGGGGACCTAATTGAAGCACTTTTTACATTGGGGACTAAATGGACACAATTTAAATATGAAGGCCCAAAATGACACAAATAACATATTTTGGGGAATAAAAAGGTAAATTAACCCTTCTATTTTCTTTTAAAAATAGCATGGCCTTAGTTCTCCTGAATGATCTTGCAGGATCTGTTAACAAAGACCAAAAACTCACAATCCCTCCATTAGTAGGCAAGGTATGGGATGCATGTTCTGCTCTTAAGAAGACTCCTGCCACAAATATCACAGCAGTAGGCCGAGCAATGACACAAGTTGCGGTTTCCATGAAAGACGTTCTTCGCGAGATGAAAGAACTCAAGCCAGCTTCTGAAGAGGCTTCTGTGAAAGACGAAAGCGAGCCCCATGATAGTGATAATTCAATTGGAGGTGATCTGGGCAATGACCTGTCACCCGAAGAGATGAAAATTTCTCAATTGGCTATTGGGGTTGTTTCTGAAACACTGGAAGTCATAAAGGAACTTATCCGATTCATCACAGGTCTGCTCAAGCAGGAAAATCAAGATAACAGTAATGATTTTGTGAACCCATTGGAGAGATTGTTGAAGATTTGCCAAGGAATTGGATTGCAGGTTGATGAGCTTGGAGCTTGTCTTTATCCGCCACAAGAATTTCCTGCTATGAAGTCAGCCATGGAAAGTATGTCAAGCAATATTGATGAAATGCAGGTGGAGATAGATAATCTTAAAGGCTCGTCGCAAGCATTCTCTCAAGCATGCACTGGTGTAAGGCGTTCGTTGAGACAAATGGAATCTGAGCTAGGTTGTGTTACTCACCTACTGCCAGAAATGCAGAACCTCGTTGTGAGCAATTAGAGACAGAATTTTTACTGATCCACCTATAAATGGTGTTTTGTGGTTGAACGTTGCCAAGGTTTACTTTGCTGAATCATATGTCTCATATATTTCTTGTTTAGTGTATAAAGGTGTAATACTGAATGTTCCATTTTTGTCCTTGTGTTTTGATCAATTGTTGCTGAATCCCATTTTGAATCTGTCAGATTGAGAAACCATTGTTGTTTGTGCCAGGGTATACTGTATACAAGCCAAGGCAGTTGCTATCTTACATTCTGTTGCAAATCAAACTGATAATGAACCAAGCTTGAATAGCTTGAATTTTTTTATTTATTTAAATAAATAATGTAAGCTTTTTTAGTCAAAATGTAGCTTATTCAAACTTTTAACTTAAAATTTTAATGAGCTTGTGGTTTTGGGTATGGGTTTATTTAGTGACTTTTTTATTTTTTTATGAAAATATGTACAAAAAAAAGTAGAGAGATGATGTAACAATTTATAGCAAATAAGTCAATAGGCAGCTTACTTAGGTGGTTGCCAAACCACTTAATTGTATTCAAACACAAGTCAAACTTGAATAGTTTTGCCTTTTTTGCAACATTATTGACAAGGTGACCCCCCTGCCAAGATTGAACCAGTAGACTCACAAGATTGAAGTGTGTTCAATTGAAAACACATTCAATACCCCATTTTTTAAGGGCATATTACCATGGCTATGATGGAATTCACATTCTAGAGCTGCCCCAAAAATTTGAAAAGAAAAACTCTCATTTTACACCAGTAGCAGAATTTTCCTACAAGAATTTGGTACACAGATTTGAGTAAGATAATGCATGCTCTTTTCACTTCTACACTTTTTTTTCGGATCTAGATGTTTTCTCATTCTTATAGTACATACATAAGGGATCCAATTGAACTATACATGTTTTAAAACTTGGATGCTGCAGCAGATTCCATGCATTCACATCGCAGAAAATGAGTCACCGGCCTATGAGCTTGACCATCCATGCACCGCCCAAGTAGAGACCAAGAAGTGGGCCAGCCAAAAGCATCTGAGTAAGAGGATCAGTCGATGGTGTGAGCACAGCAGCCGCAACTACAGCTCCCACCACTACATATCTCCAAATCGACAGCATTTGGTCTCCCGAGACTAAACCAACTTGTCCCAATAGAAGTTGTATAACAGGAACCTGTAGAAGTGTAAACGATAAGAATCAATAGCCCTATTGTAAAAGAGACTAGCTCTGCTGATGAGCTTGTGATGCACACAGCCTGGACTCCCCCCCCCCCGCGTTTTAATAGGCAATTTGTAAAAGAAACTAGATCTACATCTACTGATGGGGGCTTGTGATGCACAAGAGTCTTATACTTTTTAGCAAATTTTATTGTACATTTGACATCACTAGGTCGTTCTGCTTGCCTCTGTGCATGCGTGTTACCTAGATACACCCCTAAAAAAAAATTAAAAAATAAAAATAAAAAAATGAGGGTACTCCTTAAACCTGAGGAGTGACCTTTGGCAGAGCCACTATTGACCACTGTATTTGAAAAAACAAAATGAATAAATAAATAATCCTATTGTAAAAGGACTAAAAATGCATAGATTAACCATGAAGAAACCACAACCAACATGGTAACACCAAAATGTTTATTTCATAAGGTAAAATTTGAATAAGCTAATATGTTTTAAACATGTTTAGCAAACATGCAATAGCAAGCACAAACACAAAGTTTACTACAACCAGGAAATTGTTTGAATTTGTCTTGCAGAATAAGAAACTCAGGTTGTGCTTGTTTGGGGGGTTTAGGCCATGGGATTGGACTCTATATCCTAGTCAATCCTGAATCCAATGTGTTGATACACAAGTGGACCTCCGGATTGACAGTCTCTCGAAACTACATATCCCCTACATGGGGGATTATTGAGTCCTATAGGGGGAGTGATATACAAAATGGAGAGATTAAGAGGGGTCCGGATTAGGGGTGACCAAAATATCTTCAAACTTCGTTATCACACCATGTATGTAGTCAATTATCTAATGATTCTAGACAAACATGGATATGATAGGATTCTACTAATCCTCTCGCCTAATTCAAGGACATTCCTAACATGGGATAAGATACATAATCCTAAGGGATTGATAACATTAGGACTATTAGTCTAGTCCCATGTAAGCTTCAATTTTATATCATGAGTATAGAGATGTAACTTCTATCTGCTAAGAAATATACCTGGAAGGACAGCCCAGTGCTGAACATGAGCACTAAGACAAACTCAAAGTATTGATCAATGGACCACAGTGACTCCACAGCCCCTTCCGCATAGTTAACAAAGAAATTCAAGGCTGCTGGAGTGAGAACCAAGTATGAGAATGCTATACCAGCATAAAATAGTACTGAGGAGCCTAAAACAATTGGACCCAGAAATCTTCTCTCATCCCTCGTTAAACCTGGAAGAACGAAGGCTATGATCTCATAGAGTATAATGGGGCTCCCTAAAAGAAGGCCACAGTAACCTGACACCTGCAGTACAACATAAATAGAATCATTGTTGTCAAATAGCGAATTTAATTGTGAATCGTTTTGCTAAAATAGTGAATCGTGAATCATATTGAATTGTAAGATCACTTTATTTGGCATAATCTATAATTTTATATATGCATATACATATAAAAATACATAATGTTTAAAATGAAATAAATATTGATATAACTAAATAGTATATATATATCAATATAATTAATTGATTTCTTTTTCTATTTTGCGAAAACGACGTTGTTCATGCCTTGTGCAAACAAAACTAAATCATAGTGAATCATAGTAAAGCGCAATGAATCGTAGTGAATCACAATTGACTCATAAGATTCACTCAATTTGAGATCCAACAGAACAAATTAAATCGTTTTGGTTGAAACTTGTATGAATCTTATGAATTGAATAGTGAATTGTAACCTTCTAACAACCATGAATAGAATTATACTACAATCATATTAGAAAGGGGTAAGAAAAGTCAAAGTAATGAAGCAAACAATATTGAAACTCAAATTGCCCAAGTTGAATAGTCCCAGCCTTGCTGCCACAGTATCAGCAATTGTGCAAATGATGCAACTTGAGTCCATAAAAATTGTCTTTATCTATGCTCACTTGTGGGAAAGTTGTTTGGTAGATTCTTTAATGTTAAAAGTAATCAATTGACAAATGTTATTCTTTTGCCATTGATCACAAACACAATGGAGCAACACATACAGCAAGTGCCACCATAAACACAATTTTTATTTCTCACTAACCTTCACAGCTAGTGCTCCTAGTAGGGTCAAATTCAAAAACCCAGCTAGAGACATACCCCTACTCCACAGTTACAGTAAGGTTCCATGAAATTTCAGAAATCATGTCCACTGTCACTACCTTTGCAGTTATTTACTGATAATAGGATTGCAGGTTTCTCATCTACATAGTATTTTTGGGCAAGCCAGAGAGCGACAAATGATGATGATGATGATGATGATGATGATGATGATGATGATAGAGGAGGAAAGATGCAAACAAAACACAGAGGAAAATCATGTCATCACAAAGGTTTATGAGATAAATCGTATAAAAAAATAAAAAAACAAACCAAAACAAAAAGCAAATGATAATAACTAACTTAAATACTTGTAAGTTTATGTTAACACTATTTATACGTTTTAAAGATGTCATGTATGATATGAGTAATTGTTTATTTAATGAAATCAACTCATAGATAAACTAATGCAGACATATAATCATTTTAAGTTGCTTATGGTTATTAAAGACCCAGCAGAAAGTGCATACGTCTCCCAGTTGAGTACCGCTCATGCAGCTGTAGGGAATGGATTTCCAGTTGCAGATATTGTCACACCAATGTACAAGTGGATATTTTCCAATTACATTGAATTTCCCTCCAAAAATTGCAAACCATAATAATAATGACGACAACAATGATAAGTGTATTGCAATTGTAAATAATCAAAATGACAACAACTATTGGAGATATATCAAATGTAATATGCAATTGTAAATAATCAAAATGCTTACCAATAGTGGCAGATACATGTTCTATAACATAACAGGAATGACAGAAATTGCATCTTTACTAGGGAAAAGAAAAAAAAAAAGAGATGAAGAAATTGTTGAATTGGAAATGCAAGGGTTTATAAGACAGCAGCTGCATTTCAAGTAAGCACTGTAATCACAGCAATTCTTTTCTGCTTTTGAAAATAATAACTATCCAAAACACTATTACATTGGCATCAAGGAAAATTAAATATAAACAAAATATAGGTTAACTCATTCTAACCTTCAAAGTTGTGAAGAAAAACTCGCCAGGAGCTAGTTGCAGAAACCGAACACCTTGTGTTTTAACAGGAGCTTCAAGAAGCAGTATCAATTCCTTTGAAAGTGTAAAGCATCCCAAAATAGCAGCTCCAACTGCCAAAACTGACACAAAGATCCTCTGCCGCAGCTCCTCTAGGTGATCATATATACTCATTTCCTTATCATCCGGGAGCTGCTCTTTACTCGGATAAAGCAAATTATAAAGATCACTTCCTTCTTTATATGGGCCTTCATTTTGTAATGTAACTTCTCTTGAACCATCAGCCACATCTATAATTTTCATTTAAACATGCAGTTAATTAAAATCAGATAGGCTAGAAACACCATATCAGTACTAGGAACCAGATAAAAAAGGGGAACAACAACCATCTATGTCAAAATAATAATACAACAAGATAGTTATATTATAATTACAACAATAGCAACAACAAGAAGATGCTAGGGGAAGTGGAGAATTTGGATGGTCTTGCAAGGATTCTAGGTTCTTGTGTTGATTCATTGCCTACCTCTTACTTGGGATTGCCTCTAGGATCACCTTTTAAGGCCAAGGTGGTTTGAAATGGGGCAGTGGAGAGGTTTGAGAGAAAGTTTGATGCTTGGAAGAGATAATAGCTTACAAGTGGTAGATTGATTTTAATCAGAAGCACTTTTTCTGACCTACCAACATATTATGGTGCTTATTTTCATTATTCTTACTTCGATTGCTAAGAAGTCATAAAAGTTGGAGAGGAACTTTTTTCCTGGGGAAGATGGTAGGAATTTAAGAATGATTTGTTAGTTGGGACAAGGTGTGTCTGACAATCCAAATGGGAGGTTTGTGGATTCATAAATTGGAATTTTTCAGTAAGGTGCTGTTGAGTAAGTGGTTATGGATTTTGAAGTACGAGAGATTGTGGAGAAAAGTGATGGAAGATCAATATGGGAGGGATTGGGTAATTGGTTTAATGGCACAGTTGTGGGGCCTTATAGGTTAGGGTAATTGAAGGAGCATTGTGAGGATCTAGGATGATTTTGCCAAATGGGTTTCATTAATGCGGATGATGGGTTAGGCTGCAGTTTGGTTGGAAGTGAGGTGTGAACATAGACCATTGAGGGAGGTGTTTCCTAACTTGTTCTCTTTGGCAATGGACAGAATGCTTCAGTAGCAGGATTACACTGAAGTGGTTAGCAGATAAGTGTGGAATTTATAGGAGGTATTTTTTTGTTGTTTGTATGACTTTGGAGTTCGAGGGTATAATCAACGTTCCTTATTATGGCGAATGGAGTGTTTTCAGTTAAATCCTTTTAACAATATTTGTTGGATGGGGATGCACTTTTTCTTCTTAGAATCATTTGGAGATGTAGGATCCCCCCTGAGGTAGCTTTTTTAAATAGACAACTCATAAGGCCATCCTCACTACAAATTAAGAGAGGTGTAAGGTGATCATAGATTGGTGTTGTACGTGCAAGGGAAGTCTAAATCATCTATTACTTCACCATCTAATGGCAAGTGAGTTGTGAAGCTTAGTGTTTTCAACTTGTGTTGATTGGGTGATGTGAGGTCTTCTTCAATAGGAGATTTGTTTATTATTTGGATTGTCCATAGAAGAAAGTTAGGAAAACACTGTAGGTTGCTCCTTTTTGCCATTTGTTTTGTTCCTAGAGCCCCCACCCAACTCAACCCAGCTCAACTCAACAAGCCTTTATCCCAATTACTTGGGGCCAGCTACATGTATCTATTCCCTCTAATTGATTCTATCCTCATGTAAAAAAGGAAGTTTGCACTCATTGAAGGTGAAATTGACATTCTAAGCTACAGTTATTGAACTTCTCATTTGAGTCTTACTTTATATTTTTTCTTAGTTAGTCATTTACTTAATTTTGCCCATGAAATATCGTTACAAAAGAGATTCTTCTTTTTTATATTTAAACCATGTATTAGATTAAATTTAACAATAGCTCAAGACAAGCTCTCGATATACGTAATCATCGTATGCTTATGCGCAAAAAAGCATACAAAGTGCACCTAAGGCGGACATCTCAAACTATGATACGTAAGCCTCTGAGGAGTGACACCTAAAAATCAAAATCTTGATGCATTTTGCCTTAACGAGCCTAAATAAAGCTTTAAAAGTTTGGAACCTACAAACCCCAACAGTGTTTAAAGGGGTATTTGGCAAAACTTGGTGAATGGGATAAATATTGCCAGTTAACAGTCATGGGTTTCCTAGATTTGGAAGAAAAGGCTCCTCCGTGATTTGAATCTCTTTTGATTTTACTTTGTAATTTTTCAGTAAATTCTGAACTGAATTGGGCATACTTTTCTATATGCAGAAGTAAGGCTGCATTCATCTCACCCTCCCCCGACCCCAGAGGTGGGGGAGCCTTGTGAACCGAGGTTGCCCTTTTAAAGTTTCAGTAATTTATGACATCTACGGAAACAATTTCGGCTCACTAAATTGTCATGTAGAAAGTAGCCCACAAACTGAAATTTTCATGTCTTTATCCTAAAATGAATTTCATCATTTCCCCCATACCATTCAGCTAATTTGGTTTCTTGGTTGGCAGAGCCCAAAACATAAAGAAGCAAAGAAATAAAACAAATACATAATCACAATAACAAACCCAAGAAACCCTCATAACAGGTTTACAAACAATTCATCGATGCAAGTCGAATTAATATAATACTGAGAGCACGTATACTAAATTGAAAAACAACCCATTACAGCAAATCCAATCAAAACCCATCCACGCCAAGAAATCCATGAAATCATCAAAAAAAATAATACCCAAGTAAGGCACAGATTGATTAATTTAGAAGAGTTTTTGATACCAGGTCTATCTTCAACAGCCGAGACAAGACCACCAGCACTGCCCAATTGTTCTTGCTGCTTATTCACTTCGTCGTCAACAGCAAAACAAGCAAAACTAATGAGCTTTTTGTGCTCTCTTCTCGATGAGACACCGAACTTGGATTTTCTTCGGTTGAATTGCAGAGAAGTCGGTTGATTTCTGGTAGAATTGAGACATTTGAAGAAGTAACTAGTGTTGTTAAGGTGTAGATGAGAGGGGAGAGCACTCGTGCTTCCCATCGCTAGCCTCTGTTGTTCAGCTGCAGCCTCTCGATGAGAAGGTGAGATTACTTGTTACATTAACCCAAAAAAAAAACCTCTCCTTTTTCCTTTTCTATATACATCTTTCGAAAAAATTAAAAAAATAAACAAAATAAAATAAAAGAGTCGACGTGTCTTAAATAAATTAGTTTTTACTTATTATTAAAAATCATATAAAAAAATAAAAAAATAATATGAACTAAATAAGTTAATGAGTTGATCTTTTTAGATATAAGCAATGTTATATCCATTAAATTTTAACTCGCTCGAATTATCTGAATTTGAGCATGCTGATCATCCGAACAGTCGTTTGGCCGGTCTTCCAGGAGAATGTCGGTCATCCGTGCAAATATCGATTGATAGACCGGATAACAAGAGTGGCAATCGCGATTGACAAGAGATGGCAGTCTTCCAATTGATAGTTCGAAAGATCATTCAACCAGTCATCTCACCACCTCATTCGGATGGAATCTATTTTGGTAGACCAAACATTTTTCTTTAGATACTGTCAAAAGAGGCGATGCACTCTATTAATTTATAATCAATTTTATTGTTTTAATTATTTGATGTTACCTATATATTTAAAAGGATAGAAAATAGGAAAATTTATTAAAAAAATATTTAGATTTAAGTCTGGTAACAAATTAAATCGTGAAATTTTAATTTTATCAATTTAAATTCTAATTTTTTTATTTGTTTTCATTTTAATCTATTTGCTTATTTTTGTTAAGTAAAACTGACGAAACAATGAGATTTTATTCATTAAATTGAATGAAAAAAAATATTTTAGATATTTTTTGTACCCTTACATTGAGTATATTGACTAAAATACTATTTTTTCGTCAATTTTATTTAATGAAAATAATTTAATTTGTTACAATACTCAAATTCTAGGATTTTTTTATAATTTCTCCAAGAAATTATTAGTAGTATAATCTATTCAATGTATTAGGTTTAATTGCTTTTTGAATTTTATTTGGTTTGTTTTCAAATTTTATTTTTCTAAATACAATTTAATTTGGTTAAAATGAACTAAACAAATATATCTTTAAAATTTATTCACCTTGTAAAAAATATAAATATCAAAAGTAATGATTTTTTTTTGGTTTTATTTACTAAATTATCTTTTAATTCTTTTTAAATAAAATTTGAAAACCAATATTTATACCAAATAAATAAGTTAAAATACTGCCAATGTTTTATACCAAATAAAGTTTTGACAATAGTAATAATAAAAAATATTAGTCTCGTACGAGCAAACTAATTCAGAATACTGCCATTACCAAAAAATAAAATATGAAACAAAAATTTAAAGATATTTTGTCCTAAATCATTGTTTTGAAGACAATTATATTTTCTAATTGATTAGAATAAAAAATCGGTAGGCAAGAGATATAAAAATTTGAAATTTTAATATAAGTAACTATTACATAGATAAATTAAAATTTTTTAACGTTTTCTTGAGTTAAAAAATAATTAAAATTTAGTTTGTATCTTTATCTATTTTAGAAGTTAATATGGATTGTATTAAAAAATTAACTTTCTTATATTTTTACCACTTTCATGCTAAACAAATTTAAAATGTTCTTTTATTTTTTATTTTTTATTTCCATTACTTTCCACCACTTTTATTCTAATTATACTAAACCTAAAAATAAAATAAGGTGAAAAATACAAGACATTGCAAGATATTTTTTTACTAATTTTAAAATATTTTTCATTGATTTTCAAAAAAAAAAAACATATATATAAGAGAGGATAATTTTAAAATATTATAAGAAATGTTTTTAGCTAAAGTCCTCTCATATAAGAGAGGATGAATATTTGACATACATGCTCTTTACAGGTATCACGTTGTTCTTTGTTTTCAAATCATTTCAAAACTTAAAAACTCATTAACTTTTTATATAGATCTTTATTTCTTTTTATAAATTGCTATTTTTGAAATCCTCTCATTAAGATGTATCAAATAAAATTAATGATAAATATAAAATTTTGAAAAATAATTATAAAATTTCAATACAATTTCTCTTTTTAGACCATCAAATTTTACTATCTAAACTTTCACTATACATTAACAGTGAAATTTCTCCGCTTCTGCCTTTTCAAAACAGAGAAAATTTAAATTGAGCACTAAAAGGTGTAAAATGAGATAAAACAGAACAATAAAGTATCTAATTTAAATTTGACGGCTAAAAGACCCAAATTACCCAAACTAAGGTTACGAAATGGCAAGCTTATTTAATTCTCCTCCAACTCCTAAAAGCAAGATATATTATCTATTAAAATTTGTTGGAGTATTCTTAGTAATCAAATTATTTTGAAGGACTTTCTAGATAGAACTTGCATAGAAATATGTGATGGAAGTAAAGGCAAAGCAACAATAATAGTAGTGTTTGTTTCATTTGTGAGCTCGATCATTTCCCTCTCGAGTAATTATTCATATCCCTGAAATACTGTTTGATATTGTTCATATGATGTTTTAAACCAATTATGTCAGAAAATTTTAGAAGTAAACACGCTTATTCACTTTTATTAAGTAATTGAGAGAAATGAAGATTCACTTTATACTTATTGTAATTTTTTATTTATCGGGAGTATCATAAAGACAATGAAACATGTATATTTAGTTCACTAGAATAAGATAAAATAGAATGAAACGGTCATTCTTTAAACTCCTTTATAGAATGGCTATTCTCTTGCTATGTTGAATGATGATTTCAATTTTAATTATTTTTTAGTCAACAGAACATAAAAACAAATATTTTGATGGAATGATAATTTCATTTCAATATACCAAACCCCACCCGAGAGTATTTAATAAATTTCTTTCCCATGGGGTAATTGTATAATTTTCCAAGCTAAATAAAAAGCTCATGACCAATTCAAAACAAAAAATAAAAAGAAACATAATTCCAATAAAAGGAACCAAAGTACCAACAATGCCAAAGACATATCCTTCCCCAATTTGAGTTTATGAAAAGATTTCCAAATATTTGGATAAGAACCCTAGTTGGTCCAGACACAGAAAACCAGTTTTAAGGCTCTAACAAAGTAATTAATTAGAATTTTTCAAATTATTAGACAGCATTATGACAAAATACATATGTGAAAATGAAAATTGCATATATACATAGAGAGACAGATGCAAGAGCAAGACATCATTAGCTGTTTATTTATTTGCACCAATCACACAAAAAACTGCTTGGCAACTTCCCAAAATCCAATAATATATACATGGATTTTTGAGTAAATTTTCTTGTAGCTAGATATAAAAGTTATGGGACTCCTATTAATAAAGATAGGTGTAATTTGGAAAATTATTAGGTATTTATGAAATATCACACGGCTATGCTCTCTCATCAATTATTATTCATTATGTCTCTCGTATTCCTCAATCACCCAATATAAAATCATAAGAAAATAATATACAAGTCTACTTTTTATACTCACTTTCTAGACTTAGTGATGTGTCAAGAAACCAATCATCTTCTTGACACATCACTAAGTCTAGAAAGTGGGTCTAATTTTTAGATTTAATACCATACTTTGTCCATTAATCATACTATCATAGAGTACTACGTAATCGTATTCCCAAAATCATGTTTTGTCCTATAACAGTAAGAAAATTAGGTAAAAAAATTGGTTTATTTATAACTTTTTGAAGACAACTATATATTACCAGTTTTTTTTTTACCATTTTATATCACCACGTACATGGCACATCTTCATTGTTTTCTTAATGATTGTTTCCAAATAAAGAATCGATCATGAATATCTAAACAAGTAGTGATACAAAAATTGTGACAAAAAACAGATAATATGTAGTATTTTTCTAACTTCCCCCCCCCTGGTTGACACTTCTTTTCATCTCCCCCACACACACACACACACACACACACACAAAAAAAGAAAGAAGATAATTGTTATATACATTAGTCCATTTTCTTTCCCAATTTTTTTCACTTCCTAATACAATGAGACTCATATTAATAAATGTATATGGGGGACCTATTCACTTGCTTTTGAGGTGAGAAAATTGGGATAATTATTTAGTGAATAGTGTTAATCTATCTCAAAAGTTAGATTTCTTTTTTAAACTTAATGATGTGGTAGTTTATTAGATTATCTAAGATAATTATCTCTTTCATATATTTTCTAATTATCGGTCAATCATAGGAATGGCAATGGGGGGCAATGGGGTGGATATTAATTCCCCATCCCCATTCCCCTATAATAAATTTTCCCCATTCCCCATTCCCCATTCCACAGGGTAGGGTATCCATTGCCATCCCTAGTCAATCATCTATTTTACATATTATTGAATCTAAAAAATGAGCTTATATATTATTTTCTTTTTTCCTTATTTAGTAGTTCTAGAATACTATGTAATACTGTGGTGCTTCAAACCAATCACCTAAAAAAAAAAATCGCAAGTGAAGCATGTTGACTCATTTTAATTAAGCAATTAAGAAATAAAGAATTAATGATCACTTAGTGCATGTTGTAATTTTAATTAGTTAAAAATTTATGTAAATAATATTACATAATACTAAAAAAAATTTAATAACAAAATAAGAGAAAATACCTTGGACCCCAGTGTGGGTGACCCCCACCACCCCCACTGATTTTTGATTGATTAAAAATTATTATTATTATTATTATTTTTTTGACCTTGCCCTCACAACCCCCACGTGGAGGCGGGGGAGCTGGGGGTTACCCCCCAACTGGGGTCTCCAGCAGTGCTCAGATAAGGAATGGAATTACATGATAAGGAAAAAAACACACAACTTGTGTTGCTTGTCGTTTTGCAAGCGTCGATTTTTTTTTTTTTTTTGGATCAGTATCGATCAATTCTAAAAATACCAATACTCAACTTGCCAACAGCCTTTGATAACAGCAAGACAAAGTTCCCTCTTTTTATGCTCTAAATCCAATCTTTCTTTTGTCCACCCCTCTTAGTACAACTATAAAAACATGTTCCCAAACCTCCTTTCCAAAAAATTTCTTTCCTTTCCACATCCTACTAAAGAAAAAAAAGAAAAAGATTTGAGAAAGAAAAATGGCTTCTCTTTCCTACCTGGCTTGCTGTGGCACTAGATGTTCATCCAATACTGGAGATCGCCATGACCCAATGAAACAAGAACTCAGTAAAATCAACACAAATGGGATTTCTAGTTTGTTGACAACTGAGATCGGTGCACATACAAATGGAGCTGTTAGCACTATAGTTGTTGCACCAGGTGCTGCAAATGGATGCATCCCAAGAGAGCAGATTCGACAAAACATTCCGACGGGGAAACAGTTTGAGGATCCTTACAGGCAAGGACTCCTGGTTGAAGAGGGAGTTGGATATAGACAGACAGTTGTTATTCGTTCCTACGAAGTCGGTCCTGATAAAACTGCAACAATGGAGACCATCCTCAACCTTCTTCAGGTGAACACTCACTTGCACATTGTTAGAAAAGAGTTTTGAAATTTTAGGTTTGATCAACCTTGAGCTAGAATTATAGTGGGTCCCAAAAAAAAAAAAAAACTGTATCATGAGAGACAAACGTACTTGATCATCTCCAGTTTTTGCATTTAAACAATTTGTGAGTTTCTGTTTTCTTTTGGTTTATATTTTGATTCTCACGGAGAAACAGTTTGAGGATCCTTACAGGCAAGGACTCCTGGTTGAAGAGGGAGTTGGATATAGACAGACTGTTGTTATTCGTTCCTACGAAGTCGGTCCTGATAAAACTGCAACAATGGAGACCATCCTCAACCTTCTTCAGGTGAACACTCACTTCCACATTGTTAGAAAATAGTTTTGAAATTTTAGGTTTGATCAACTTTGAGCTAGAATTATAGTGGGTCCCAAAAAAAAAAAAAACACTGTATCATGAGAGACAAACGTACTTGATCATCTCCAGTTTTTGCATTTAAACAATTTGTGAGTTTCTGTTTTCTTTTGGTTTATATTTTGATTCTCCCAATTTTGTTTTGTGTTTCTTTTATTCAGTTTTAGCTGTTTCTGTTTTATACAAAGCAAAATAGGAAAAATTTATACATTGTGTTTCCAGCACACGTGAATATAGACATAGTTCACCATAGTTCTGACTTGGAACTTTCTCATGCCCTATTTGCTATCGTTTTCAAATTTCTTGTTTTTGTTTTTCATGTTTTCATAAATAAATACAATGAAAGTTTAGAAACACCCATTAATCATTTTCATATCATTTTTATTTTTGAGCGAAAACAAGTATGATGCTTTTTCAGACAAGTACTCCATATCAGTTTCTGTTTTTCATGTTTTGGATAATAGAAAACAGAAAGAGACAAAAAATAAAAAATAAAAATGCCAAACAAAGCGGTGCATGAAGATCCTAAAAGTATATTAATTGATGAATGTGTATGCATACGCAGGAAACAGCATTGAATCATGTGTGGATGTCAGGGCTTCTGGGTGATGGATTTGGAGCAACTCATGGAATGATGAGAAACAATCTCATATGGGTTGTCTCAAGAATGGAAGTCCAAGTTGATCATTACCCAATCTGGTAATTTCTCTTGACAATTCACATAAGTTCTCACTTCATACTCTTTTATATATCATTTAGATATTAATTAATTGGTCAGGTATAAACACAGAACACTGATTTTTGTTTAAAAATTGATATTCAAACATTTAATTTGGGATAAATTACACTAACCTCTCTTAAGGTTTTAAGAAAATTCAATTAGTCCCACAAGTCTAGCATAATTATATCAGACTCTTTCAAGGTTTTAATTCATATAACGCTTGAATCCCTTTTCATCATAATTCCATTAGTCGTATTAATAAAAAATGATGTAGTCATCTCTTTTATATTAAAATGTACATTTTATATTGTGTATCGGTGTATCTTTATACTATCTACATTAATTTTGATTTTTTTAACCTTATTAAAAAAGAGATCTGTATAATTATGTCAAAACTATAAAATTTACGATATTTTTTTCAAATCTCAAGAGAAATATGGTATTAAACCAAGGTTAGTGGTCCTTTTGTTTCAACATTCTTGTCTAATGCAATGAGCCAATGATCCCCTGCTTTTTATATTTTCTCTGTTTTTCAACAGCTAAAAAAATCATTTTTTTTTTATTAATATTTTTAAAAACTGATGTAAAAAAAAAAATTTATTTTTTAGCTCTGCCTAGTCTAAAAAAATCTTAAAATTTTATATAAAAAAAAATCTACTTTTTCAAGTTTTTTTTTTTAGTCTTGAATTGGTTTTTTTGCAAATATTTTATTTACTTTTCAAGTCCATCTAGTTTAGTATGACCTAAAAGCAAAAAAAATTAAAATTAAAAACAAAAAAAATATTAAAAAAATAATTGTCAAACCCACTAAGAGTCTTGAGTTTTGAGAGCATATAAAAAATGTTACACATAAAATGTTTACAAAGACTCGTTTTTGTCATTTCCATCATCTTCATATGCAACTAAAGTCGCATTTGATTGCATGTATAGCAAGTGTTAGGGACTTGACTTATATCACTTTTCTAAGCCATTCAAATTTAGTTCATATATCTCACAAGTCTCTCTGCCTGCTCTCAATTAGTTTTGAATTAGACGTGTTCGAATTCTAACAATATTAACTCACACTCGCTGACATTTAAAAGTAAACTTACGCTCATGATTCATCGTCACCATAAAAAGGCCTCAAATCCAACTAACATGATAATAACAAATCTATGAAAAATTCTTGTAAATCCAAACCTAACAAGATGATCTCTCAAACAAAGTAGTTAGAATACCAACAAGCATCTATAGAATTACAAGTCACAAAAAGTATGATCCAATTATTCAGATACAATAAGAACCGGTTCAAAATCATTAAATTAATGATTTTTTTTCTTTTTCTTTTTTTGCAGGGGTGAGGTACTGGAAATAGACACATGGGTTGGAGCCTCAGGGAAGAATGGAATGCGCCGAGACTGGCTCATTCGAAGTCAAGCCTCAGGCCTCGTTTTCGCTCGTGCAACCAGGTATATATACATATATCTTCAATGGTGTTTTTCATTTCACAGGTTTCACCATTTAGATTAGCACTGAAAGGTTTAAATAATGAATATGGCAATGGAACAGTACCTGGGTTATGATGAACCAGCAAACTCGACGCCTTTCCAAGATGCCAGAAGAGGTTAGGGCTGAGATTTCCCCATGGTTTATTGAGAAGCAAGCAATCAAAGAAGATGTGAATGAAAAGATTGAAAAATTGGATGAGAAAGCCAAATATGTGAACACTGATTTGAAGGTAAAGCTCTCCCCAGCTAGAATTGAACTTCAACAAATGATATGATGCTAAAACTTCACTAATGAATGAAAATTTTAATTTGCAGCCAAAGAGGAGTGACTTGGACATGAACCACCATGTTAACAATGTTAAGTACCTAAGATGGATGCTTGAGGTAATATCAAAACGTTGCCACCATTTCTTATCCCGACTTCTTATTTTAGGAAAATAGGAGACCCTAAAGTTTTTCTGGAAATATCTCTGAAATATTGTGCTGATACTACTATATTCGTTTTAGATGGGCTTACATTCCACAGAATGAATGCAATTAGGGACGAAGAACGGCCAAGAGGGGCCATTGACACCCCAAGTTTTGGGAAATTCTATTTCACACACCAAATTTTCTCAATCCACGCACTTAATGAATTTTTTTTATATTACATTTTTATTCTAAAATAAAATTACCAAAATATCCCCATCTTTCCAACCGAAATCCTAAGCCCTTGGCCTCCTCTTTGACCACCCTAATCATGCTCTTCACCTCCGTTGAACCTCCCCACCACCACCACCATTGCCGCCATCATCCCTATTGCCATTTACTCTACAACCGCCATTATCTCATTACCAATTTTTATTGATGGCATTGTTGCAAGGAAAAAATAGAAAGCAAAAAAAAAAAGTAATTAGCAATCAATTTCTCTAATTGAACACAAAATCTTATGATGTAAATAGTAGAATGTTTCTGTAAAATGACCATAAATGTATTATTTACCATAAAGTTTCCTATGAATGATTCATGTTTGTTAAAGAGTCCAAAATACCAACTTTGCTTGTTGGCAGGGATAGCTAAAAAGCCACTGTTGTTACAGGTCAAATGAATTTCAAAATCATGAATGCATGTGAACAATTGGGAATTACATTTGGGTGTATTTAAAATGGTTTTCCTGAAGCAAATTCTTGTCAACTGATGTTTCATTATCTTTAACTTCTTTCAAATGTAACCAAAGTCAATTTCTACTCTCTCAATAAACCCAATTTATCAATGTAACTCATGAATTTCTTACCAGGTGCCCACCAAACACAAATATATACATACAAACAACTACCTATCAATTTGCATCAGATTTAAATGGGCCAACTTCATGATTAAAATTTTTGATTTCTTACTTTCCAATAGAACTATAAAAGATATAGGGTTAGGATTAGGGTTTGAATAAGGAAGGAGATGAGGACATTTTTTGTATAATAAGTTATTCATTGAGTAAAATATTAGATCTCAAATTCATTAAGGGTGTGCTTTGAGGAATAATGTGTATAGAGAATATTTAGTGTGTGGAAATAGAAGCTCCCCCAAGCTTTTAAAAAATTTACTATCACCCCTGCAATTGAAGAGCTTTAGAATGGCCCTCAATAAATAAATAAGTTTTTTTAACTATATAAATCATATCAACCAATAAAATACCTTATTATATAGCTCGGAATTGCATAAAATAATTGAGTCAATTATTGAAATAAATCTATTAATTTCTTTTGCTAATTTTTCACAACGCTTATCTAAGAAATTATCATTTGTTTTTTAAAAACTACACTTACCGTATTAAACGATTTTTCTGACTTCATCCTGAATGCAATGTACTGAATTTTTTTTAGATTTGTGACATTACTGCTCAAGTTAAGTCCTAGTTCGAGTGGATAATTGTTTATTATTCTTAATTTTTCATTCAGACCATCCCTGATCAATTTCTGGAGAACCATCAACTGTCAGGTATGATACTAGAATACAGGAGAGAATGTGGAAGTTCAGATACAGTTCAATCCCTTTGTGAACCTCAAGAAAATGGAATTCTTAAAGATGGAACCAAACAAGACACTAGCATGAGTTTACAAAATGGATTTTCTATGCCATCTGGAATTATTGAAGGCAATGGACTCCTAGGATGCTTTGATAAGGTGCCCTTTAGGTATACACATTTACTCCAAATCAAAGGGGAGGCCAAAAATGAAGAGATTGTTAGAGGAAGGACCTCATGGAAAAGAAACCTCTCCATCATGCCATTTTCGATCTAATTCATGTTTAATTTGCGTATAAAAGGGCATGATATGATTATTTTATTCTAGAATAAACTTATTTTGTGTTCAATTTTAGATTTTTTGTGATCGGGATTACTTATCCCTATATATGTATGATTATTTTGTCTTAAAGGAGGAATTAACTTGTCTTAGGATAAGACTGTCACTATAAAATGACTAAAATGCTCTCGTCAACATAACTTATCAAGCTAATCTTGTTTGCGAATCACAACATGTTTAAAAGATATAGAAAGCATATTCAACCAAATGTTTGAATGGACTGAAATTAGTTGGAGCATATAGTGGATTGCCCAACATCCTGGTTTATTTTCAAATTTCCAATTATAAATTGAAGATAAACTTCACTTGGCCCCTCTATGGTTTATCCTCCAATTATTTTGAAATAACCACATACCATCCCTATGATTTTGAGACTAAGTGCACCACCAAAAATTATGTCCATGTTGATAGAAACTACGAACCAGGTAGCAGGACATAAGGGGTTACGTACTCATATGCAAATGTTCGGGGATGAACCACATGTGCGGCAAAACGCAAAAGGTAAAGTGCATTTTGGGTCCCAAACAAAAGCAATGAAAATGCTTCTAGTTTACCAAATGACATTATTTATATTTTTTTTCAAAAAAAAGACATTATTTATGTACAATGGTATTTTAATTTTTTTGCTGAAGTCATTAACGGTGCAGACAATGCACTATAGTTTATAAATCACAAGAGCTTATATACTTATATTCAAATATCAAGCGATAAATCACAGAGTAAGGCCCCGTTTGGGGACTTACTTTTTTAGCCAATTAGTCAAAAAATTACTAAATTAGCCAAAAAGCAAACAACTCGTACCAAAAAGTCAAAGATTCTCTTTTCTCTCTACTTTTTGCACATCTTTTCGTAATTAACCAAAAAGTCATCCCAAACATACAAGTTTTTTTTATCTACATTTTTAGCCAAATAGCCAAAAAGTTACTAAATTAGCCTGCTCCCAAACGAGGCCTAAATCACTGAGAGAGAGGTATAGTAAAATTTGTCCTAAATTGAAAGGAAAGTGAAATGAGAGATAATAAAAGGCTACAACTTGAAGATGTGAGTTAACCAAAAGGTTCAAGCTTTGTATATAATAAGTGATGTAATACAGGTGGTGATGATTGTGAATAATGTGAGCTTATTAGGAAAGACTAGTTCAAGCAAATTGTCCAAAATCAACCAACATAGACTACAATCATTTTAGTATTGCACTCGTACCATATCAAATAGTACCCAAAATTTGTTCAAAAATCAACTTCCAAACCAATGAGTTCTATTCGGAAATCAACTTCCGAATCAAAGATACAATCAAACCAAATAATTTTGTTCAAAAGTTAATTCCTGAACCAAATAATTTTATTCGGAAGTTGATTTCCGAATCAAAAAGGTGTGCACTGAGAGGAAATCATGTGTGGAAATAGAAGCTCCCCTCCTGTCCACGAACACTAACAATCCCACAAGAATTATCAGCACAATTGAATCCCCTAGGAACTTTTTGCATTCTAATAATTCTGAAATATTATGATGATATATATACATAAACCAAAGAGAAGAGTCAGGATCAATGTGACCTCTGACATGACATAAACAAAAACAAAAAACAAATCTCACAATCTTCTCTTTGAGCTGCTGCTTCCAATGCTGCATCATCTGCCTCCCATGAACACTTCGAAGTAACTACCAACCACCTCGCTACAGAAGTTGAGGCCAGATGCAGAAAAATAGGCTAATCTTCGCATCCAAAACGTCCATGCAATCACAACCATTCGGGGTGTTTTACCTTTGACTTCTCTCTTATTTTCGACACTGAAGTATCAATCTGATTGCTTATGCTGTTCAGGATTTCATAGGCCTACTGACACTGTTACCTCAGAATTGCAATCAAAACAGCACTTGATACTGTGCTCATCAAAGTTTAGTTATGATCTCTCTTGCTCTTCTTCAGCAAGATTGACATTTGTTCAATATAATCATGGCCTCTACGCGTCCTAGCCATAAGCTTTTCAAGAGCCTCAGCAGCTGCATCTTTTTCCGCTTGCTTCTTGTTGTTGCAAGACCGCCCCATGATCTGCATTCCATTGAACTCCACAGTGGCTTGAAACTGGCCGTTACTTAGTTGCTTAGTCTTATAGGTGGGAGCCGCATAGCCTGCCCGTGTGAGCAATGTTTGGAGCTGGCTCTTCGAATTATCACCCCCGGGACCACTCTCTGTTCTTGAAACCAATGCCGGAGGTGCTGCTGTAATAGACAGCTTCGAGGGCTCTATCAGCTGCCGGTTGAACACAAATTTGCCATCACATCGATCATCTGAGATTAGAAGCCTTACTGCCGACATAAGTTCATGATGGGTGTGTATCTCCAATCTGGGATTCACCAACTGCATATAGAGATCCAGTAATTTTAGTTTATAAGTTCATGATAATCCCCATATATGGAAATTCCATGCGATATGATTAAGGCAAAGTTACACTTCACCCCATTGAACTATCACTTGGTTATCACTTTACCCCCTTTAACTAAAAAATGTTACACTTGGCCACCTTGAACAATTAATTTATATCAATGTAAGCCTTCCATTAACGATCCATTACATCATGAAAATTTGACATGTGCCATACACATGACATCTCATGTATTGCAAAATGTTTAAAATGACCTTATTCTTCTCTCCCCTTCTTTTCTCTTTCACCTTCCCTCTTTTCTCCTAGCCACGTCAGCAACTATGGGTGCCACCGTGGGTGGAAGTAAACAAGGAAAAAAGTAAATAAGGTTATTGTAAACATTTTACAATGTTTGAAATGTCTATCAATTTTTCCTTTTTATTTAAGTAATGAATCTTTAACAAAAGGTTCACAATGATCCAAATTGATAGTTCAATGCAACAAAGTATAATGTTTTTTAGTTGAGGAGGGTAGAGTGAGATACTATGGGTTAAAGTGATACTAAGTAATAGTTCAAGGGGGAAAAGTGTAGTTTTCCCTATAACATGAACAGAAGCTTCACTTACTTTGTTCTGAATTAAATCATCAAGCTCTCTCCTTAAGCTTTGGTACATCTCTGCTAGGGCTGGTTTCATGAAGAACTCCAAGTATCCTCCTAACATTTTTAAGTGGCCATCCTGTAAAATCAAGAAAATGATACCACCAAATCATCATAAAAAATAATAAAACCACAACATGCACAAATGCATGTGCATGTCTATCCCAGCAAGGGAGTGAGGAAGAGGGAGAACTCCAGTAAGTAATCACAAAAAGAAGAAACTTACAGTATCCCCCCTTGAAATACTTCCACCAAATAGGAGCAGCACCGAATCAGAAACAGCGGTTGAATCTCGAAGAAAAACAGAGTTCACTTTGATCTTTTCATTGAAAACTAGCCATGGGTACGGAATCTTAGATTCTCGAGCATTGATGGAGTTCTAGGCAGATAACAGGAAGAAAATAATATGCAATTATAGTGGAATCAATCAAAATACCCAGTTAATAATATCTCAATTCACAGTAAGAACAAGGGTATTCATAGTAAGAACAAGGGTTAAGTTGTTACTGAAACTAAATTGGTACTCAAGGGAGAAACTTACTGAGTACAAGAGCACCTGACCATCCTCCATTGTTTTCAACGAGAATGACTTTTCATTGTGCTGCCAATGCATATATGTCAGCACTCGCATAGATTAGATGAAGTAACAAAAATTATACACAGAATTCTTGCCAAATCATTCCATCAAGTTCTATAGTTAAATCCCTATTTATCTTTCATTTACTAAATTAACAAAACAGATGCACACTTTCTTGCATAGTACAAAATGATTCCAGGAGATGAATTGAGCAGATCAGGCATCAAAAGCATTTCCGTTTTAAGCCACATGATAGGGATGTCAAAAAAAGAAAAATATGATCAGTACAACAGTCATGGATATAATGGCTTACCACAACAGAGCAAATTCCAGGATACAAGCCATAGCAAATAACAGCTCGAATGAGATGCTCATCATAACTCCATGCATTGCAGGTGGCATTGTTGCTATCAACAAGGCCAGTATCCTTAAGTGAGGAGTAGAACTCCCTTCGCAGAGCATCAATAGCTTTCATTGATTGAGCAGACAGAAAATTCTTCCAGCAGTATTCATATCCAGCTAGGTCTCTTTCAGCTTCTTTCCAGCCCTCATAAGCCCGGACAAGAGCAAGGTGATCACTGTAATCACGTGAAAATTGTGCTTTTGCTGCTTCTGCTAGCTGCAAAGAGAAAGACACACAAATCAATTGCCCTCCCTTTTTGGATAAGTATACATTAAATGCAACATTGCAGATATACAAAAACAAGAGCTTATGTAATATTAATATGCTTTTCAATTTCATTATATCATACCTGAGTGGATAAAACCAACTATCAAAATTAGATGCAAACCCCAGATCCAACTACCCATTACTCCCTAACCACCCCACCTCATAACCAGCCCAACAAACAACAAACCTCACCCTCTAAGAAAAAGTCAATAACAAAGCATCACACCATTGCAACTGTAAGTTTCGAACCAAACTACCCAAAAACATATGGATGAACATATGCAAAGATTTTTACAAAGAAACAAAAGGCGTCTCTATAAGCCGTTTATGGACTTAAAGATCATAGGCTCCCACTGAGATGATGTACTGTGCCCCCAAAAAAATAGGGATTGCGAACTAGATATATTAATATAAATGAGAAAATGCTCAATGTAGCAAGTCGCAACAATAACATGAAAATGCGTAGAGCAGAAGAAAGTTAACAATCTCAAGAGGCTTACACCATGGTTCAGCCTCCAGTACATCTTTTGTGCATCAGAGGAAGAATGTGCAAAGAAATGAAAATAACTTGAACAATGATGTTCATAGGGATGAGAGGTAACTATCTTGAGGATGATAACAGTAGCATAAAAAGACAATTTGATGAATGCATTTGCAAGAGTTATGAAACAACAACAAACAAAGATCAGATAAGAACAGTTTTCAAGATTGTGTGACACGACACAGAATACTCACTAATGATGAGTAGCTTGATTTGATGTGAAGACACTACTAGCTGAACGTGAACACAAGCACTGTGAGTGAGAAGCCACAAGATGACTTTTTAATTTAGTTATTTATATAATACTCAAAATGCTGAAAGGTTAAGAAAAGCTTCATATACCTGAACCAAATAAATTGCCAACTGAAGTTTGTACATGACAGAATGGTTGGCGTCATCTTGAAGCTATTAACAACTCATTATAAAGACGTGCACAAAAAATTGTAAACTAGGTCCAAAGCACATCTTTTTGATCTAGGAAGGAGGGAAACAGAAAATATTTTTATCATAGGACTGTAGCAGAGAGAATTTCATTCATGTGATGTATAAATATGGTTATCTTAGGTCGGTTTTCCAACCGGTCACGCACTGTACTACACACCCCCACACCCCAAAAAAAGAGGAAAAAATAAGACAAAAAGTATAACAACACTAACCCATTATGCAAGTCTGTATTGTCATTGAAGTAGTCTAAGTGAATTAAAGCTTACCCGAAGAGGGTAACTGAGGGTGGGTCAAAACAATCACCATCTCACCTCACAACAAAGATCACAACCAAATCCAAAATTAATCTGCTCAATACAATTATTGCTACAATGAGGGGGGAACAAGAGTACAGAATAAAAAGGCCACATTTCTGAATGGGCGCCAGTCTTTCCTAGAAGAATCTAAATAAGCCAAACAAGCATCTATGGTGAATCCATTCAACTAAACAAAAGAGTTAAATGTACAATAGTGTAGCTACAAGTGCAAGCTATAAAGAACATCTAAATAAGAGAATGAATCATTTAGCCTGAGCCTATCCAAGAAAAAGTATGCGACCGTCATCTAATCATACAAAGATGGGAAGCTTGACTTACATCCTTCTTGTCCATTGGTGTTAAGAATGGATCTCGGACACTAAGACCGGTAACGACAGTCAACACTGGGTCCAGGCAATTGAATACAGCACCAAGTATTAGCATCTTTCCAAGTTTGGGGTCCATCGGAAGCATCGTCATGTAGCGACCTGTCCAGGGCTCAGACCACATGAGGTTAAATATTCTAACAAAGAAACCTTAAAGTTTGTACAATCTGTAAATACCAAAATGGATAAGGAAAGATAACGCAAATTTGCATACCTAAAACAGTCAAATTTTCATTCTCATCCAAAGCCCCAATAATTTTTAAATATTCAATAGCATTTTGAACCTACAATAAAATTGAATCCAAGAGTTACATGGCTGTGTTACACATGAAAATAATAGGCATGCATGAATGGTAGGGAAAACATTTACAAACAAGAACAACCCCGAAAGATGATATGTATGATGCAAAGAATTTATAAGCTAACATATCATCGAGTATTACCGCCAGTAATTCTGGCGACTGTAAAGCCCTAGATAGGAACTCAGATATACTTCCAAGTTTCAAACTTTTGATTTGCAGACAAAGTGACTGCAAAGGTGTCCTCAAAATTTCTGGCAACTGATAATCTGCAAAAGCATCATATACACATTTGGGATAAAGATGGTAGCACTCTCCTGGTCGAACACGGCCAGCTCTTCCTCTTCTCTAATTATTCCATAAAACACAGAAAAGAAAGATATTATTAGTGTAGATAAACCAAACAAATTAGCAAAAAACATAGCGAGTGCATAACAGATATGCTGCTCCATCTAAACACCTAGTAGCAGGAAAATATGGTATACTTTCTGTATAAAGCAAATAACACAACTTCACATTCAAACATGCACAAAAGATTGGTATAGTTCCTAGCTTTAGGTACAATACAACTAAAATGCCGATAATTATAGGAACTATATTAGTGAGAATGACATCATTTTATAGGAAATGTGGTTTTCTTCCTCGCTTACTTCATTTCTTCTTTTGTTGCCATTTCATATAAAACATGTCCAGCAACCCGGTGGAAAGAAAAAGGAAAAACGTGAAGCTCACATTTGCAGATTACCCAGATTGGGTCTGCAATGTACAATTTCTTCTTACAATTCCACAATGAAATCTGTCACATTAAGCCAAAATTCTTGTACAATATTTCAAATATATGCTTGATTTAATAGAACTTTTTGGGTGACATGAAATGTAGGCTGCCAAAAAAAATACTGCTACATCAGCCAACAACAAAATTGACACCTACTGAAAGCAATGAAGGTATTATTCTATTGTACTATTCAAAGAAGAAACCCCGGGCACGATATCCATTATAACTAACTGGAGAAGTAGAGGGGATGGTTACTATTGGACTTGGGGTGTTTTCTTCAGGTTTTGCAAAAGGTAGCTCCATGCGAGCTGTAAGTGTGGTAGGTAGAGTTGAGTGTGTTAGGTGAGAGTTGAGTGTGGTAGGTAGATGCAAGTGTGTTAGGTGAGAGTTGAGTGTGGTAGGTGAGTATGTTTTTCTCTTCTATATATAGGAGAGTCATTGTATACATTCAATAAAAATCAATAATATCAATCAATAATACATACAATTTATCTCTATCAATTTATTTTACATGGTATCAGAGCAGGTTTAGAACCTAGTATTTTCGCTTCCCCGGCGGGCGGCAACCTCACCTTAGCCGCCCGCCGGACCTCAACTTAGTCCGCTAAAATTTTCTACACATACCTTGAAATTTCTTCTATTTCACCACCAATTTTCTTCCTTGAAGCTTCCTCTGTTCTCGGCCCATCCCAGTTGAAACTTCCCAATTTCTCTCCACTCTCATTTTCTCTCCTCTCAGTTGCTCAGCTCACTGACGGCGGCTCTCTCACTCCCTTCGGTCTCTACTCACGGTTTTGAAAGAAACTCTCTCTCTCTCTCTCTCTCTCACTCACAACAATGGCGGGAAAGGGGGCCGACGGCGAAGGGTTATCGGCGAACCTCGCCGGAATGTCGAAGAACCAGCTCTACGACATTATGTGTCAGATGAAGACACTGATTGAACAGAACCAGCAACAAGCGAGGCAAATTCTCATCCAAAATCCTCTCTTGACTAAAGCTCTTTTCCAGGCACAAATTATGCTTGGAATGGTGCAACCCCCTCAAGCAATTCCAAATATCCAATCAACTGTAACGCAGCCTCCTACACAACAACCAGTGCAGCCAGCTCAGCAAACAAATGTTCAGGCTACTCATGCATTGCCAGGACAAAATGGCTTGCAGGACCAAACTAGCGCGCCTCAGATTCCAAAACCTCCACCATCTGAATTCGTGAATGCATCTCGGTGGTACAATCACATTGAAGCTCTTCTTAGAATTTCTGGTGTTTCTGGGGAAGGTTGTGGTGTCCACCTCAACAAACTCCACTCATTCCCTTCGTCAAACAAGTGGTCTAAGCAAAAGTGCGATAAAAAAAAAAAAAAAAACCTGCTGACAGGAAGCATGGGAGCCTCACCATATCTCTAGCAACTTTTTATTCATTTTATAATAATAATAATAATTATTATTATTTTCTCTCCACTCAAGGACACCCACCAATTTGTCAACTTTCCCACCATTTCGTATGATGAAAGGAGGAGACAGCACATGGAGGGGACGCACAGCAGCACATAATCCACATAGTCCAAACCCATTTTCTTTTCTTTCTTTATTTATTTCTTTCTTTTCATTCCTTTATTACATCTATACCCATATCCATCATCACCCTTCTTTATTTATTTCTTTTAATCACCTTTTGCACCCCACTCACTGACTCCCTCACCACAAAATAGAATACCTTTATTTATTTATCTTATCTTTCTTGTGTTCCATTTTTCACAATATAAAAAAAATAAATAAATAAATAAAAACAAAAAACAAAAACAAAAATACAGATTTGCACAACAACTTTGTTTTATTTATATTAGGGATCAACTCCGATCACAATTTTACACAAAAAAAAAAAACAACAACAACAACAAACCAAAACACAATACCAAAAGATTTGTTTTCTTTTCTGCAGACGGCCACCCACCGACCTCACTTCTTTGCCTATTCCGCCGGTCTCTTCTTCTTGCATCCGTCCTGCGCGGCCCTTGACGGTATTGCCTCCGTGTTTCCCACTCCACTGGGCACGATCACTACTCCCTGCTCCTCCACTGCAGCATATGGCGGCCCTCCAAATCGGAACATCACGGTGGCCTTCCGCTTCAGCTCCTTGTTTTCTGCCCTTAGCACGCTTATCTCTGCTCGCGCATCCTTATACATGCGTTGGAGCAGAGCCAGCTGGGAATTTAAATGCTGCACCTCATTTGTCCTACTCTGCAGCCGGTTCGAAAAATTTGTGACCGCCGTCATGCTTTCCACACATGCCTTCAAAGTATACTGATTGGCCTCCACATCCGACAGCACTGCCATTCTTTGCTCCACAGACCGCATCGGAAAGTTCAACGGAGTAAACTCCGGGGCGCTTGGTTGAGGTTCCAGTGCCACCGCACCAGTTGCCTCTCTTGTTGACTCGTTGAGGTCGGGAAAGAGGGTGAGCAGCCCGCGGGAAGACGATGAAGCCATTTTCTGGGCAACAGAGTGTTACAGAATATCTCTCGCAACAGAGTTTTTCAGACTCTCTCTCTCAGCACAACGAAGTTTTTTTCAGAGGTTTTTTCGCAATTTACCATCACCTACCACCACTACCACCTCACCTACTCCACTAAACCTAACCCACTACACCAATACCACCTCACCTACTCCACTAAACCTAACCCACTACACCACTACCACCTCACCTACTCCACTAAACCTAACCCACTACACCACTACCACCTCACCTACTCCACTAAACCTAACCCACTACACCACTACCACCTCACCTACTCCACTAAACCTAACCCACTACACCACTACCACCTCACCTACTCCACTAAACCTAACCCACTACACCACTACCACCTCACCTACTCCACTAAACCTAACCCACTACACCACTACCACCTCACCTACTCCACTAAACCTAACCCACTACACCACTACCACCTCACCTACTCCACTAAACCTAACCCACTACACCACTACCACCTCACCTACTCCACTAAACCTAACCCACTACACCACTACCACCTCACCTACTCCACTAAACGACCCCATAAACTGTCTGCTACAACGGTCCGACATGACCCCATAAACTGTCTGCTACATTGGTCTGACACGACCATACCGTGTCTCCTATCCTGTTTTATTTTATTTATCAGTTTACTTTCCTGTTTTGTTACTCTCTCCAAACTCAAGGAGGATACTCAAGTTGGTTAGTATCTATCCTCCTTGAGTTTGAGGGGGGCTGTAAGTGTGGTAGGTAGAGTTGAGTGTGTTAGGTGAGAGTTCAGTGTGGTAGGTAGATGTAAGTGTGTTAGGTGAGAGTTGAGTGTGGTAGGTGAGTATGTTTTTCTCTTCTATATATAGGAGAGTCATTGTATACATTCAATAAAAATCAATAATATCAATCAATAATACATACAATTTATCTCTATCAATTTATTTTACACGAGCAGACGCAGGCAGTAGAGGGGATGGATTTGAGAGTTGTCTCCCCAAGCAACACGTTGGCTCTGCCTGAGCGGCAAGAAAGCTCCACATGAGTCGAGGTCATCAGCAGGCAGAGGTTCTGGACTCTGGATTGTTCCACTTGAACAGAAATAAGCTCCTGCAGATGTGTGTGATTTTCTGCCCTAAACAGTGATTTTTACACACGTATAAATACCCACCTCAGAACTCAAGACATTTTGTTTCTCTAAAATTTTCTCTTCTCCCTCTCTAATTCTCTCTACTCCATCTATATAACTCCATTTTTGGAGGGTAGCTTAAATTTGTGCAAAGACTGAAAGAGAAAAGTCTTAAGCGACGAGAGCATCAAATCCATCTGGACAAAGTTGAATTTCGTCACCTTTCCATTTCTAGGGTTTCTCTCTCTTCTGCTTTTGTTTAATATAAGATTTTAGTGTTTGTGTGGTAGGTTCCATATGAAATGGTAGAGTAACTTCGAGAAATTGCATGCCTTAAATTTTGGTTTGAATTTCATGTTAGGAATGTGTTTTTACCTATGAAAAATAGCTTTAAATTCATGAATGCAATGATATACTCAAATAACTCTAATTTCCCATAGTTGGGTAACGGTTTCGGTGGATCCGCATGTGCTGACTTTTGTAGATTTTGTGGATAATTTAATTAGTTAGTTTTTGGGCGTGTGTGGGTTGATTATTTTTGTATTATTTGCATCGCCTTGATGCTTCTTCAATAAAATTTGTTTATTTACCAACAAAACAAAACAAAACAAACAAACAAACAAACAAACAAAAAGGCTAATTTCCCATATGAACCCTCAAAATGATGATTTGGAAAGAGAATTGTCAAATGTTGATTTTTTTTCATATATTATCTTCACATCATGGAACTAAGTAGATTGAGCTACAATCTATGAAGCACAGACATGGACACGAAACACACGACACAGAAATTTCCAAAAAATGGGGACATGGACACGGACACGGTAGGAGACACGGCAAATTTTTATTTTTTATTTTTATATATTTTTATGTGTTATGTAGATTTATATTACATTCATCCTAAATCAAAATTAACAAACACTAACATCTATGAAGCACCGACACGTTCCCAGGCCCTACGTACGAGTGTCGAACACGGACACTCGTCGGACAAGCAGTAGACACATGTCCGACACTCTCTCTAACATGTCCCCTTTTTTTTTTTTGAAATTTTCCAGTCGAACACGCCATAGACACGCCGAGACACTTTCCGGACACGCGTGAGTGGATCGAAGAAGCCCTAACTGTTGGAAAGAAGACAGAGAAAGAAAGAGATCGAGGGAGACAAAGAAAGAGATCGAGGAAGGAGATGAGACAGAGAAGAGTGTCGAACACGGACACGCGTCGGACAAGCAGTAGACACATGTCCGACACTCTCTCTAACATGTCCCCTTTTTTTTTTTGAAATTTTCCAGTCGAACACGCCATAGACACGCCGAGACACTTTCCGGACACGCGTGAGTGGATCGAAGAAGCCCTAACTGTTGGAAAGAAGACAGAGAAAGAAAGAGATCGAGGGAGACAAAGAAAGAGATCGAGGAAGGAGATGAGACAGAGAAAGAGATCAAGGGCGGAGAGGAGATAAAGAAAAAGAGAAAGAGATCGAGGGAGAGGAAGAAGCCTAACCTGTCAATCGAAGAAACTAAGGTATTCTTCTTTATCTTCTCCTTCTTCTCTTCGTCTTCTCTATCTCCATTTTCTCTGTTCTTTTTCTCTGCCTTTTCTGACTCTCTCTATGCCTTTTCTGACTCTCTCTATGCCTTTTTGATTTCGCTCTCTCTTTCCTCTATTGTTTCTCTTTTTTATTTTTCTTCTCTTTTTCTTGATTCCCGTTTCTCTCTCCCTCTCTTTTTTTTTCTTTTTTCTTTTTTTTTATCCTTATTTTTTTGTTAAACCTAAAATTCATAGAATAAATTATTTTTATTTAAAAAAACTCATTTTCTATTAAAAAAATTTAAAAAGTGTGTTTATTAATTTTATTATTATTGTAATTGTATAAGAATTAATGATTTTCTATTTATTTTAGACATATAACAAATAAATAAAATTATATATATTAAACGTGTCCCCAGCATGTCGTGTCTCCTATTTTTTGAAAAATAGCGTGTCCACGTGTCCGTGTCATGTCCCGTGTCCGTGCATCATAGACTAACATAGTAACATTAATTCAATAAATATAAGAGAGGCAAAAGATTCAACATGCAACAATAAATATAAAGAGAGAACATTCAACATCCAACAATATTCTTCACAAAAGCACTAAATAAGAGGCCAAAAAAAAAAAGAGTTGGCCTTCCAAAACTTCAAGTAGATCCAATTTCTTGCACGTCTTCATCATCATTAGCATTAGCATCACCATCTTTTTCTTCGTTTGTACCTCCATCATTTGTAAACAACACAACCTCCATCTCAGGTTCATCAAGTAAGAGATTTGCAACCTCAAGCATCCCAATATCATCAAATGTGTCGCCACAATATCCCATAGCTTGGTCTCTCCTTCAAGGTATTGTAGGGTTCTCCTTGATAAAAGACGGAGGTTGCTATGAACAAAAACCAAGTCCTCTACACGTTGGGGTGTCATCTTGTTTCTTTTCATTGAATGGATAAAAGAGTATATACTCCAATTCCTCTCAACACATGACAAAGAAGGAGGTTGCACAAGTAGCCTTAAAGCCAAAGATTGAAGAGTGGGTGCAAATGCGCCATAAACAACCCACCAACTATGAGGATCCATATCACATCTATCTCCAAGGGAATCAATGTCAGCAAATGGCCCTTCTTTGGTTGAGAGCTTAGCATACTCCAAATTAGCTCTGGTGCGCTCCATTGGATCATCAAAGAACCTTTTCAAGCACTATTTTCTCTCAAGGCAGACCACCTCATCCCTATGTAGGGGGCCTCAGCTTGGATTCTCATAAAGCCACACATCACTCTAATACCTAAAATGAAAAAAACATATTACTCATTATAAATGTGAAAGAATAATATTAAACTTAAATTAATAAAAATAGTAAATTG